TTGGACACTGATGGCTCCCAGCCCAGGGTAGGAAGTGGGGAGACAGTGGATTCCAGCAGAAAGTGTAGCCACTCCAGAGCCTTCTCACCCATCCCCCACCAGCATCAGGGAAGGTAACAGTTCATTCATTACCAAGCCCTAGAAACCCAGGCACTGCCCTACAGGAAGTCCCTGATCAAGGTTGGACTTCCTCACCACCTACCACCTCCTCCAGAAGGACAGACGGAAGGCACACTCTGCATGTTTAAGACCAAGGCAGGAAGCAAGTGGGCCCAGACTTTGACCACCTCATGCATGCAGCTTCAGGCAGTGGCTAAACTGTGGGATCCAATCTCTACCCAGAAACTCAAAGTCTCTGCTCTTGCACAGGACATGCTCCAACCAGGCTCTCCATGTCCAACCAAGAGGCCCAAACACAGATCCTCAGCTAAAGTATGAAGAGGGTTTTCCTGCTAGGACTCTACTGGCCAAGGCACACATCCCAACCTCCAGTGGGGCGGAGACCACAGCAGCACCAAGCCAGAGCTCTTCCCTGAATCCACTCTCCAGGGCTGCTTTGAGAATAAACTCAACAGCAACTGTGGACGTTCCTCCTGTTTGCTGAAAATAAGAGGCAAAGGAGGAGGACAGAGGCAGCCACGTTCCAGGAACAGCCCCTTGGCTACCACCTCAGTCAGAAGTTCTGAGGCCTGGCCTTGAACAATGCCCACACAGTCCTACTCTTGGTGAGGGCTGGGCCTTGGACCTGGGTTCATTACCTATAGTGTTCTTGGCCTGTTCTCTGTGGAAGGCTATGCATCTGCTAGCTGTGCTCAAAAAGCAGAAGCCACAGCTGGGGGTGTGGTTCAATTGGTGGAGTGCTTGTCTACCAAACATGAAGCCCTGGATTTGATCCCAGCACTACATAAGCGGTGTTGGTGCTATAGGACTCCCAACATTAGGGAAGCAAAGAAAGGAGGGCCAGAAGTTTAAGGTGAGCACAAGACCAGCCTGGGCTATATGAGAACCCCCGTTTCCCATTAAAGGCCAAAGGGTCAGGGCCAAGGAGGAAAAGAGGAAGGCCTGGCTCACCTAGAGACAGGTGTTGCTGGGGCCCCAGTCACTGCATGGATTAGCCAACTGCTATAGGGCAGGTGCCCCACAGGTGTGTATCCCACTTCTGCCTGGTGGGGCCCTGACTGAATGACCCAGAAGAAAAGCTCAGGCCCCAAAGTGTGATTAGAGGGCAGGGTGATGCCTGCCTGCTGCCCCCAGCGTCTGCTGGCCACTTTGATGTGAGGCATGTCACCTGAGCCCCACGCCTCCTGTAACTTTTAAGAGCAGTGGTGTGCCCAAGTCCCACTGGCTTTCTTTCTGAAGCAAGGCGTTGTTCTAACCTGTGAATAAAAACCACCAATTATCTCCAAGGCTGGAAACTCAATCAGGGCTGTTCTAGGGAGAAGCGACTACATTTAGGAGGAGCGGACCAAGACCACATCAAACACCCTGCTCCTGGGCCCCAGCAACAGATCAGGCATCAGCCCTGGATCCCAGCCAGCCACTGAGAGGAGAATATCAAGAGGCAATGGGAAGATGCCCAATGGCCACCATCTGCTCCCACAGGTGACACTGTGGGAGAGAACAGCAGTATTTCTGCTCCAGCTAACACTGCTCCAACCCCCAGGTACATTGATTACCTACCCACCACAACCCCCACCAGGCCACCCTGACCCCATCCAGCTGCTGCCCAACACTCTCTCTTGCCACCTCTGTTTCACAGCCCTGTTCTGCCTTAGCAGTAGACTCGGTATCATGCACATGGTCTGTCCACACAGCCACCCCATGAAAAAAACAGAGAACTTCCCCCCACCTCTGAAGCAAAGCTGCCTGAAGACTCAACTTCACTCCCTGCCCAGGACTTCTCTTGTTCTGCTTCGAAAGTTAATGTTCAACATGGTACAACATGTGTAAGAAAGCCAAACACATGGCCGTACACCAGGTCCAGAACCCAAGGCTCCCACACTCCCTCTCTCCAGCCCCATTTCCCTAAGAGATCAGCACATCCTTTGGTCACCTCTTGTGGCACCTGGGCAGGTGTTCTCTTGTGGACCCCAGAATTACTGGCATGTCAGTAGCCTCAGGGTATGGCTCCAGAATGGCCCCAGCCCCACCCAGGGAGACCAACATCCTCATGAAGTGATTTGGTGTTCTCATCCTGCACTTTAAACCACATCTAGATGACAACTGCAGTTCACCATAGTGCCACTCAGTGTCTACCATACATCATGGAGCAGCAGCAAGACCTGAGCATATTCACAGTCTTCAAATACTTCTGACCGTGAGTCAAAGCCATGGCTGAGTGCCCAGTCACAGAGGCCAACTGCCACCCTTTAGTACAGTCCCTTATGTTGTGGTGACCCCTGCCCCAACACACACCATAAAATTATTTTGTTGCTATTTCATAACTGTAATTCTGTTACTGTTATGAATCATAATGTAAATATCATTACATTACATCAAACATGCAGGATATTTGATACATAACCCCCATAGGGGTCACAACCCACAGGTTGATACCTAGTGGTCTAGACAAATCAAAGTCCCCAAGGTCATTTTTAGAGGCTGATGTGAGCCTAGTGCACTGGTTAACTGTCCTTGAAATTGCTCAGACACACATTAAGGAAGACTGGTAACCCATTGGGAGAAAGAAGAAAACAGGAAGTTCCCTGAGTAGGGTTGACCCTGGAAGTACTAGGCTGGAGAGATGGCTCAGCAGTGAAGAGCTCTGGCTGCTCTTCCAAGAACCTAGACAGGTCCCAGGTCTGGCCTAGAAGGCTCACATAAGCCAGGGAGGCAGAGCTACACAGCCACACAAGTCCAGGAAATGCTTACAAGATGGCCTGGGGTTAGGTGTCAGGGACTTGCAGGAGCCCCTGGTAGCCCAAGGTGCCCAGTGTAGAAAACACCTCCTTGTTCAGGTTGCAAGCACTAGCTGGGCAGCTAAAGACCCCCAGGTGGATGTGATCTCCATGCAGCCTCAGGTCCCCTCACTGACTCCCTGTGTGCACTAGACATGTCTAACAATTCACAGTGCTCCACTGAAGTGTGGGCAGCCCAAGCTCAAGTTGAGGTCAAGGGTGCCCACCCCACACCACCATGAGCACTGTTGCTCTGACAGGCTCAGCCTCCCATGCCAGTTGTCTTCATCATACACACTTCCTGCTGACTCCAGGACTCCCTGGCCATAGGGATGAAAGGCCCCTCATGGGAACCAGACCTTAGGGCCAGGTCTTCAACCTCAGCTGCCCCACCCCGCGGGGCTCCGGTAATTCGTGGGTCCGAGGTGGATCACGCCTGCAAATAATGGGCGAGAAAGAAGAAGCGGGACCAAGCAGATTCCATTGTCAAGGCCGACTTTATTGAAACCAAGGAGCTTTTTAAAGAGAAGGGAGGAGCAGAGAAAAAGGAGGTGGGGGGAGGGATGAGTTAATTGTTCTCAGGCAGGTATTCTGAATCTCCTGTGTTTATCTCAAGCACTAACTAAGGAAATGAGGGAGGGGATAGGTGTTAGTTGCTTCTCAGGCAGATATCCGGAATCTCCTGTGATATGCCAGACTTTCTGGCATCTAACTATGTATGGGGTCGCCAAGGCTGGCTTCTGACACTCAGCCGTTTCCCACACCCGCCTTCTCTTTGGACAGCCATCAGGGCTGTGTGTGACACCAGCTCTATTCTACACTTCATGCTTCAGGATCCACAGCTTTTGTACTCAGTACCAAGAGATGACCACAGAAAATAGGGGGAAGCCTGCAGAGCAACTGTGAAGACCCCCTGAGGAGTGCAAGCCCACACTCTTCACATAGGTTACCCCCACTGAGGTCCCATGGCCACCCGTGCTGCACAAATGCCAGGGCCACGGCATTTGAAATGGACAGGACAGTGAGCTGAGGAGGCCCCCAGAATACCACTGTGACTCCTCTGGTCCCTTCACACACACTCCAGTGATTAGCATCTCAGGGCTAATCACTGAGGGCAGGGCAGCTCTGCCTGATTAAATGACCTGCAGGATGGATTTCTGCACAAAAGCTGGGGTGGATGACACTGAGTAGACTGGACAATAGAGACAGAACCAGGGCACTGACATTCACCCAACAGGCACTAGACCAGGCTCACTCTGAGGTGAGGACAGGGGACTTGAGACTTGTGAGCTGGCCTGGAAAACCCAGGAGCAGCTTCTGGAGAGTCCCAGAGGCCACCAGACATTGGTAGCATCAGCAGAGCTCATCTCACCAGTAGGTGGCACTCAAGGCTTAGCAGTCGGAGTCGGGGAACAGACACCACTACTGCTGTGGCCCATCTGGTCCAGCCATGGTGCCAGAGACCAACCCAGCTCAGGACAATTGGGTATGTCCTCCTATCCAGCTCCAAGGAAGAGCTTGCAGAGGGGCAGGTCTCAGACTGTCTTCAGGAGTCCTACAGGCTCCACACTGATGTCAGGGAAATGACCAGAATTCCCAAGTTGCTCCTTGTGTGCTGGGAGCTGGCACCTCTCCAGCAAGTACTTAGCCTGAGCTCGGGCACCCTGTACCTCATGGAGGGGGTGGGCACCTCTCCAGCACTCATGATCTGAGCACTGTAGTACCCAAGCCCCCATTCCTTGTCAATATCCATGGCAGACATCACTTGGAACCAGCCCACAGCCTGAATGACCCCAAGAAACTCCCCCACCAAGCCCCAGAATTGACATCTGAAGTGAGAGAACCAAAGGCCAGTATAGTGCCCTGAGTGTCCTACCCCCCTGCCCCAGCTCCTTCTGCCACACAAAACAGAGTCACCTCTGGCTTAGCCTTTGTGCATGTCACTAATGAATGCTTCTCCCACAGGTAAGAGGACACACCTCACAACCTGATGTTCTTGTGTGATCCACAACCTAAGCAACCCTACCCAACAGTCTTGGGGCAGAGAGAGAGAGAGAGAGAGGGTGGGGGCAAGGGTAGTGTAAGAACAAGCTTTACAAAACATTCTTTACAAGAACATTCTTTATGAAACAGAAACCATATTCACACAGCCAACCATATTCACAGACACTGTGAAATAAAAAGGTGACATTCTTGACATGTGAAACCAACCCTTATGCCCCAGAAACCTGCCGGCTACCCTCCACAGGCTCTGTGCAGGCTTGGGTTCACAAAGGCCACCAGGGTTGAAGACACAGATAAGCTGTGGGTAACAAGGGGAGCTGAGGTCTTCTCACATCCTGGGCTTTAAGGTCCCTGCAAAATCACTCCCTTCTCTCCTTAGCAACTCTTGCCAAAGCAGCTTGGAAGAGCAACAAACAGAGGGATGCTGCTCTGCAGTGTTGACTACCCATCTGCCAAGGCCACAGACGGCACGTGCTCGGTGACTACTACTAAGCAGCCACAGTCCTTGTCCCAGCCTCTCTCTGTCCCTGAGTGGTCTGTTCCAAGCGCCGTCTTTTCTTGCTTGGTCTCTATCAGTTGCTGCCTCCACAGCACGGGCTCCAGGCCAGCATCTCTGTCCTGCCACCCCGGCTGGGAGGACACTCTGATGTCACCTGCACAGCTGCAAGTGTGGGTGTTTGTGCAGCTTCTCTATCAGTTCTTCCTCCTTGGGCTCTTCAAGGATGTCCCTGCAAGGTAGGGACAGTCACACAAAAGCTTCAGAGAGAGATGGGCCTGGGTCTCTTAGAGACTGCAAGCAAAGTCAGCAGGCAAGGTCTGCGAGTGCCCAGACTCAGAGTCCCCAACTGGGAGGTACTTTCAAAACAGGTTGTGGCAGGGCACAGGGGCAGCAGCATGTAGGTCCTGCCTCAGGAAGACATAGATGCTAAAACCTTTGTGTGCAGTGACAAGCACACTAGGGGGACTATGGAGGGGTTCAGTGTAGGGCATAACATGCACACAGCCTAGACTTCACCCCTACACCAAAAAGAATTAAATGAAAAGCCTGGAAGCCTAGAGAGCCCTTCTCATACCAAATGGCATGACTACAGTTGGCTGGTCATAGCACACAGCCAACACTGGTTTAAGAAAATGGGGCCCATGACAAAAGGCCCTGGGATGACAGCCACTCTTCTATATAAGCAGAGGACAATCTCCATGATGCTACAAGAGGAAAAGATGTGGCTCCTCCAGGCCACCTGGCTGTGTCCCATGGCATCAACCAGAAACTACAAGACACTGGAGGATAGACAGTCCCTTCCATATTCTGGACCCCAAGTACAGCAGAGTCCATGTCCCTGGTGGAACCAGAAGTGTCCACTGTTGTGGTGTGGAAGCCCAGATGACTGAGTGGAGAAAGAACCCTGTCAGAAGCCTTCCTCACTGCCCACCCCCCATCAGCTCCAAGCCCTGGAGGCACACACCCAAGGCCTGCACCTGAACATGAGCTCCACAGACATCTGATAGTTGATCTTCTGGTTTCCAACAAGGAGCTGCTTATAACTTCCGGGATCCCATCGGTGGACAAAGTTCTGGAGCAAGAGGAAGGGTATAAGTAACCATGTGGTACCAGTTTCAGAGCCAGACCCCCATCACCCAATCTGTGGTTACAGTACAGTCACCGTGGGGAGCAGCTCACCCTGGACATCTGGATGCAGAGCCTATGAGATCCGCACCCATGAAATAGCAAGATGCTGGACTTCTCATCCTTAAGTCCTAAGAACCCACAGACTGGTTTTATGTGTCAACTTGACACAAGCTAGAGTCATCAGAGAGGAAGGAGCCTCAGTTGAGGAAATGCTCCCAAGAGATCTAGCTGCATTGCATTTTCTCAATTAGTGATCAATGGAGGAGGGCCCAGCCCCAATCCAGTTGTAATTGCATTTTCTCAACTAGTGATCAATGGGGGAGGGCCTAGCCCATGGTGGCTGGTGCCATCCCTGAGGTTCTGGGTTCTAAAAGAAAGCAGGCTGAGCAAGTGAGCAGCTCCCCTCCATGGCCTCTGCATCAGTTTCTACTTACAGGATCCTTGCCCTATTTGAGTTCCTATCCTGACTTCTTTCAGTGATGAACAGTGATTTGGAAGCATAAACCAAATAAACCCTTTCCTCCCCCAACTTGCTTTTTGGTGTTTTGTTGCAGCAACAGAAACCCTAAGACAGACCAGCCAGGGTAAGCAGCTCAGAGGCCTGCAGCCAGGCTCCCTCAGCCTGTGGCCTTGGTAGGTAGCAGGGCTCACCCACCAAAACTCTAGACAGCCCAGCAGGCAATCTCAGGCCTGGACAGGGATATCTGGTACCTCCAGAAGCAGAGCCAGAAACAGGTTGATCCAGATGACAGAGGACACCAACCACCATAGCACAAAATACACCATTGACCACCTGTGAAGGACAAGGAGGGCAAGACCCATTGTGAGTGGGGTGAGATGACTCCACAAAGTCAAACATCTCCCAGTGCACATCTGTGAGGGACCCTGCTGCTAACTCCACAGTGTATAGAGTAGTAATGTTGCCATAACACCAGGACTTGGAGGTGCAGGGACACCAAGGAAGCCTAGCATGATATGTAAGTTGTATTCAAACAGGTCCCTCTGATGAGCTGGTCAAAGCTCTACAAGCTATGAACTAAATGAGCCACCTGACTGTTCTCCTAGGATGCTACCCCCATGGAAATCCCCAGAAGCACCAGGCAATTATATACACCATTTATTACTCCCATGCTGGCATCCCCAGGGTGTATAAGCCCAGGATCCTGGCTATCTCCCAGTTTAGTGTGGATGAAGGTTGAAGGCTGCCAGGTCACAGCTTGGGCAGCCTTCCAAAGTCAGGGACTAGTTCCCGTCTCAGTCCAGGCCCTGCTTCTCTGATATACTGGCCAACTAAGAGCCAGCACTGGGGCAGACAGACTTACGGGCCTGAGTAGCGCTGATAGGCTTCCAGTAATACCTGCCAATTGTTCACCACCATCACGTTCCACAGTGTGATCAGAGCAGCCTGTGGGGTAGCAGAGGTAGGGTCCAGGAGGGCCCAGGACAAGGCAGAAGAGCAGCCCAGGGAACAGGGAAAAGGGGCAAGACAGAGGCAGAGTCCCAAGTGAGCTGGACCTGGGGACAAGGCAGAGGACTCACAGCAAAGTCATCAAAGTTGTTGGACCAGTAATCTAGCTGCTCGAAGCTTCCACACACTGCTGAGCTGTTATCGGGTGCCAGGCTGGAGACACAATGTCCCTCGGTTAGTAGCTGTAGCCAAGGGCCTGCGCATCTCAGCACTGCCCTACTCCTCAGCCCAGCATGGACTCTTAGGCCCCAGGGGAAAGGGCAAAGGAAGATGCCACTTCCTAGCCATGCAGGGAGCATATATGACATGACCCAAAAGGCCCCCGTCCCCAGAATCCTAGGCTCCAGGTTCTGAGGATGGTACTTTATCCCCAGTTCCACCCTAGCACTGCCATAGCCTACATCCTGGTGGGGATGGGATCTGTGCTCAGGAGACCCAGTGCAGGACACCGACAAGAAATGTTTAGGGGGAGGGCCCACTGAGTTGCCCACAGGTTAATGCCCTCAGGCACAGCCAGCCCCTCACCTGCTGTTTCCAGGAGGCACAATGATGCCTTGGAATAGGTTGATCCCAATGATGGCGAACACATAGTATGTCACCTGGAGGAACAGTCCTTGTCAGCGCAGCCACAGGGCCAGGCTGAGGCCAAAGGAGGGGAGGCAGGGAGACACAGAGACAGCTCTGCCCTACAGATGGGGAGCTGGGGAGACCAGAAGCACTAGGCTAGCTCTCCAGGTCTGGTTGCTTTTTGGGTTCCACAGTTGTAGGCCTGCTACCACTGAGGACAGACCAGGCCATCTGGCCCCTGCGGAGGCCCAGGCATATCTTAACTTCTGTCTGGCACACGTGGCTACAAGCCCTGCAATATGTCTACAAAAGAATATCTTCGGGGCTGGAGAGATGGCTCAGAGGTTAAGAGCAGTGGCTGCTCTTCCAAAGGTCGTGAGTTCAATTCCCAGCAACCACATGGTGGCTCACAACCATCCATTATGAGATCTGGAGCCCTCTTCTGGTGTGCAGATATATATGGAAGCAGCAGAATGTTGTATACATAATAAATAAATAAAATCTTTAAAAAATAAAAAAGAGTACCTTCCAAAATCTCAAGCTTGGGCCCAGGGGGGCTGTGGGAGCCCTAGAAAGGCTGTTCACAATTTCCTGAGTTTTTTACTGTGGTACATGACTCAGGGGTCACGAAGGACTGGGTAGTTACCACAAAGACCCTGGCATAGACAGCAACCCCAAGTCCTCTTTGGAAGGAAGGGGCCAAACAAGTCTGGCATCCTGACATGGCTGTGGGTCTCCTCATCAGAGCAGAGTTAGGCCAGCCACATGCCACTTGGACTCCACAGAGCCAACCCACCCAGGCTACCACCAGAGCCCCAGGACTTACCACCAAGATCCCACCAAATGATTTGAAATTCTGGACCAGGCCCAGGATGGTGCTGGTTACCATAGCTATTGGCTGTGGGTAGGAAGAGGGTTTAGCCTAACTCTTTCTGCCCCAAAGATAACAGTGCACCCCACAACACACATCCTCACCCTGACCAGGAGAGAATGGACCAGAAGCTACTCCATAGCCATCGACACACATCGACACACACTTGGACACCCACCTCAAGGCCATCTATACACCTACACACATCACACTCCCACAGACACCCATACTCCACATATATCCTGTACACATCCACCACATATAGAAACCCTATACACCCACATGCTCACACACGCTCACACCCACACACATGCTCACATATTCCCCCCAAATGCCCAGCCTTCTGTGGGTGCTGAGTCACAGGTCCCTTTAACAGCCTGGCATCCATACCCTGTGACCACCTCTGCCTGCTGGCCTGCTAAGACCTGATGTGCATCCCTGTGCCCAGAAGCTAAAAGAAATGGAAGAGCAGGCTCTTGATCCAGTGCCCCCTCCCCACCCCAACAGTTTAAGAACGCTAAGAAGCTTGAAGGTATGCTCCCAAAGGGCCCTTGGGGATGTGTGTCTCTTCCTAAGCTCATGGCGGCAGGGGGGGTGGGGTGGGGCGCAGAGCATACCTTCACATTGGGGATGACACGCAGGAATCGAAAGACAATCAGTGTGTTCACCAGCCGTGTCATGTCCCACAGTGACAGTGAGCCAAACTGCTTAGGCTTCCTAGGAAGGCACAGGAGCCATGTTAGGAGGTCCAGGAGAGCAGAGCAATTAGGCAGCAGGGGTGAACAGACAGCAATAGTCACTGAATAGATACCAAGCAGAAAAAGCTCTCAGGAGGTGGGAGACTGAGCTTGGTCATACCCTACTCACACCTAGAGCCATAACCACAGCCACAGCCATAGTCACAGCCATACCCCTCAGCACTGCCATAGCCATAGCCACACCTCCCAACACTGCCACAGCCACACCTCCCAGAACTGCCACAGTCATGGCCACACCCACCAGAGCAGCCCCATAGCATGAAGGAAGAGATAGTATTCAATAACCAGGTCCCAGACCTGCTGAGCTCAGTTTTCCTAAAGAACTGATAGGAAGCCTGTCCCAACCTCAACCTGACCTTTGACCCTATCCCATCACTGACCCTGTTCTATCTGGGCCTATGACTTCTGACCCTCTCCTGAACCAACCTCCTATCATATGATCCAGTCCTAACCCCAACCCTGTGGCTACCACTCCACTCAAGTATCCCCATGGTTTGTCTATATTCTGACTCCTATCTAAACATAATCCATTCTCACCCCAATGTCACCTTTGCAATTCCCAAGGTGATGGGACAAAGCTTGAGAAGGGCTTGGCTCACATCAGAAACTATTCTCACAGATCACTATTCTTCTGCCTGGCATATGGAACTGTCCCAGCATCTCCAAGCTAAGCCAGAAGACACCCCAGAGGTAACTCCTGCAGGTCAATGCTTGACCACTATCCCTCAGAAGCCTATCCCAATTGTGTCACTGTCTAAGACAAGGCAGGGCAGGGATCCATAGTGTACATAAGTGGCCCAGGCCTGTACCAGCCAAGCCTTGGCTCACAGGAGCTTCATAGCAACCTAATGTGTCATCCTGACACAGGGCAGCCTCACCAACAAAGGCACTGGTTCAAGCCTAGCACCCACTGGCTATGCCAAAAGTCGTGGGACTCTACCCAGAAGTCTCTCGGTACAGTAAGAATGGGGGCTAGTGGGCTCAAATAGTGCCCTAACACCTAAGGAAGCCAAGGACACCATTTTACAAAAAGGAAACAGACACTGAACACAGGGATGAGTCAAGGCCACATGCTGGGCAGGCACTAGCAAGGGGATTTTGCCATATTCCAGCAGAGGGACCCAGCCCACTCAATCTGTGACCCCAGATCCCCCAGACCTGAGTTGGGCCTCATTTCCCATGCTGGAGATGGTGGGGGAGAAGGGACATGTCCACTTGTTAGAATACCTTACAGGGAACACCTCCGCCCATTTCTGCATGTCCCCCATGCAGGGCAGACTCAGCCCACAATCCAACATCCCCACTGGCAGAATGGTGCATGACACTGTCCAGGGACCCCATGGGGTACTGGAATATGTCACCTGGGTGCTGTGCAGTGAGACAGGTCACTGCTCAGGTGGTATCCCCAAGTTTTCTGCAATCACATACCATACTGAGTTTGGCAATCGGTATATCACCAGAGTAGAAATCTCCAAAACCTGAATCATAGAGAGAAAGGGGCATTGTCCAGCAGTGCCAACCCAGGTGGCACCTCCAGCAGTGCCATCCCAGGCAGCTTGCAACAGAATCCCAAGACTTAAGTCCATCCTTTGGCCATGTAATGGCACTCGGAGCTCAGGCCTGGCCCTGTATATCCAGATGTATGACTTCTGTCAGTCAGAAAACTGGCTTCAGGAATCAGGACTTCGGAAGTCACTTAGTCACAGATGGACCAAAAGGCCTCATTCAAGTAACTCTCTCTATGTATGTCTCCAAGGACCCACTGGCTCTCAAAATGTCACTTGAGGTCACTGCTGTGATACCCACACCAAGTGTGAGCCCCTCATTCCCAGCAAGAAGGGAAAAGAAAGTTCATGAATTCCCAAGGGCACCATGGGTAGCTGAGTCCACTGATACCCACTTACCCACACCAAGGCTGCACTGTGAACCAGTGGCACTGAAAGGCTGTGACAGGGGCTGCATTAGCTGCTGATAGCTCTGGGTCCAACTGGTCCTCCCTCAGGATGACAAGTGGCAGTCCAGCCCCCGCAGCACTCACATACAAGTCTCTGCAACCCATCACACACTTCAACCCAGGCCCCTTGAGCCAAGAGCTCCACTTCCTCTTAGGTAGCCCATTATGCTCTCCCTGATATATCTATACTATACTATACTAAACTATACTATACACCCAAAGGGCCTGGGCAAAGCTGCTGGCCAGGCTCACACAGCTGCCAGGAGAGGTTCCCCAGCTTGTGTAGACTTTACCAGGAGGACAATGGTGAGGAAGCCATCGAACACGTTGCCACAGTAGAACAGGTAGCCCCGCAGGCCCAGTGCAAACAACTTGAGCAGCATTTCCAGCAGGTAGTACAAGACGAAGACGTAGTCAAGAATCTGAAGAGGCAGAACCCAGCACTAGCCTCACCCACTGTATCCCCAGAGCTGGTCCTAGGACACCAAGGCCTGTGGCCATGGCATTCCCCCCACCTCCTCTGCTGCCCCTCTAGGACCCCCATCCCCTGTGCTTAGGGCTGGCATTTCTGTTTCTTGCTCTGTCCTAATCTCTGAGGTCTACAGAGACGCACATCTGCCCCTGACGCAGGCCTCCCCAACCAACAGGAAGCATAAGAGAACACCCTGGGCTAGTCCTTCTCAGGGGAACCTGAGCTTGCAATCAACAGGAAGCATAAGAGAACACCCTGGGCTAGTCCTTCTCAGGGGAACCCGAGCTTGTTGAAGGACAGACAGCTTGGGGTGAGAGCTCATCAAGGAAGATGGCCTGTACCAGGAAGGGAACACAAGTAACTCTTCCTCTAAAGAGGGTCATGCAGACGCTCCTCACACACAGGAAAGACACGGGGAGGCTCACTCCCCAGGTGTACACAGTTTTATTCATTCTGAGCTGTCAGGCTACCTCCATGAAGCCACTAACAGAATCTAACATGAGGCTTCTGCTTAAAGTTCAAAGTGGAAAGCTTCAACTCCCAAGGGATTTGATAGAAACTTTTAACACCAAAAGAAATCAAGTTTACTTCTTGGAGGCAAAGCTCAAAGTCTGAAGCCACACAGCCCACATGACCCAGTCAGCACTGCAGCCCAGTTGGTCTCTTCTCTCTAAAGGACCCTCAGCCTCCCAAGGGAGTCACTCTGTTCCCATCCAGACATCCTTTGCCCATATAACCAGAACCTGCACCCCTGTGAGGGATCAATGCTCTGGCTGGACTCAGTCACCGTCTCCACCCTACTTCTCCTCCTCTTCCTCCCTCTTCCTCCTCCTCCTGCTCCTCCTCCCCCTCCTCCTCCTCCTCCTCCCCCTCCTCCTCCTCCTCCTTCTCCTCCTCCTCCTCCTCCTCACTGCTCAGCCCCTAGCAGAGCTGACAGCTTCACAGGCCAGCAGCCCCTGAACTCACCTCCAGGACAAAGTCATCACGTTCCTCAGGCAGCAGTTTTGAGTCCAGCACCAGGAACACCTGTAGAGCCACAGAGGAGGGCGGCTTACCATGTGGCCAGCCAGTGTGTGTGTGTGTGGGGGGGGGTTTACAAGGGAAGACTAGCTGAAGGAGAGGGCCTCCCGCACCACCACAGGGTAAGCCCCCACTCACACAGATAGACAAGAAGTTTCCCAGAGCAATGAGGTTCCCCAGGTAGTCAAAGTACTGATTACTGAAGAGAAACTGGGCACTCTGCAGAAATGGAGACTGGTACTGGGGCATCGGCGGGACCTACAAAGAGAATCCATGCTCTCAGAGCCATGGTGAGGCAGGTGACCTGTCTCTTGTTCTAAGGTGACATCCTCCTGGCTTACCTCCTGCCCTTCCTCAGAAGTAATCACAAATACATGAGAGCCTATTCATAATGGCCTTTATAGCAGTGACCTTATACAGCTAGAATGATAAATGTCTAGTGACCTGTATGTAAACAATGTCACATTAGTAATTTGAAATGTGTGCTTGTGAGGCTAGGAAGATGGCTTAGTGTAGGGAGACACTGTAGCCCCGCCTCCTAGTAGTCCGGCTAGCTCAGTTGGTAGAGCATGAGACTCTGAATCTCAGGGTCGTAGGTTCATGCCCTACATTGGGCGCCAAGTGAGGCGTAAGGCTAAGATTTCTTTATTCAGATAAACACCAGCCAAGTGAAGGGGCTATCCACGTGTCGCCGTCCCTTAAGAATCCTCCCCACGTCACCTGTAGACCTCACCACACCCTCAGGGGCGTGTCCCGGCACACCTGTCCGGGCTACTAGGAGGCAGGGCTACAGTGTTCTTCCACACATTGTAAGACAAACTCCCATTTCTGGAGTTCTTACCTTCTACACTGACGGTAGCAAATCAGGTAAGGGTGGTTATAAAGCAGGTGAGGTAAGTAAAGTAGTTCAAAGTCTGTACACATCTGTACAGAAGGCAGAATTATATACAATTCTCATGGTGCTTATGGATTTTACAGAACCTCTTAACATAGTTACTGATTCCCAATATGTGGAGAGAGTCGTTTTGCACATAGAGACCTCAGAATTCGTCCCTGATAATACTGAACTAACCTCGTTGTTCTTGCAGTTACAGGAAACAATCAGAAACAGAAGTAATCCACTGTACATTACGCATATTAGATCCCATAGGGTCTGCCAGGTCCACTGCCACAAGGCAATGACGAGGTTGATTTTTTATTAATTGGCACTGTGCTAGAAGCCTCAGAATTTCCTAAAAAGCATCATGTAAATAGCAAGGGTTTAAAGAAGGACTTCTCCATCACTTGGCAACAAGCCAAGGAGATAGTGAGAAACTGTCCTACTTGTTCCTTTTATAACCAAACTCCGCTGCCAGCAGGCTGTAATCCTAAAGGCATTCAGAGGAATGAGATCTAGCAAATGGATCTTTCAAAAGTCTTTCACTTTACAGAATTTGGAAATTTGAAATATGTGCATCATACCATTGACACATTCTCAGGTTTCCAATGGGCTACTGCTCTCAACTCTGAAAAAGCTGATTCCGTTATTACACACCTCCTAGAGGTGATGGCAGTTATGGGCATACTGGCACAGATAAAAACTGACAATGCTCCAGCATATGTCTCCACAAAAATGGAACAGTTCTTCAAATATTATAACATAAAACATGTCACAGGTATACCACACAGTCCTACAGGACAAGCAGTTGTTGAGAGTTCTAACAGGACACTTAAGGAGCTGCTCCATAGGCAAGCTGGTAAGTCAAACCCCCACCCCAAACATAGGTTGCATAATGCTTTATTGACACTAAACTTTC